CACACGAGTAGTCAGCCGAAGGCGAAGTTTCGCACGAACCAGCATGTGATCAGACCACCTCTGTTGCCCGCTTCGGCAGCGCGATACGATCTACAGTCTGCTACTGATGAGATCCAGCGTGATCGTATCAAGATATAGTCGATCTAGTGGGCTGTTATACCGTCATTGGAGTACCAGGTAAGAAAGTGCTTCCTGGGGTGCTGAAAACACGTGTTGGTTGTAGATAGGCGGTTGTAATCGGAGGAGTTAATTAGCCTATCACCGTTTTCGCAGCGATGGCCGAATCCAAATTTTCCAATTATATGTTTAGTTAAAGGTACTTGTCCACCCGTTCGAGCATTCCAGTCTCCCGCCACGATAAGTACATATCTGTTGGGGATGCCTCCTGTCGTAGAACTCGTCCTTCGCTACGCTGCCCGATGATAGAGTGGGGGCGTAGACTGCTACCACCGTGAGGTTGGTGGGATTACCTCTGAAGCGAGCCACAGCGATCCTTGACGATATTGGTTCCCAAGAGAGTAAGACAGCGTTGGCGCACTGGCTCAACGCTAACGCCACTCCTTGTTGACCTTAGATTTCTGAGCCACTATGGTAGAAATAGTGGTGGCTATCAGAACCGGGAACCTTGATGTTACGTGAGCCGGAGCTAGTGCGACTTCGGATAAGCATGCACCATCTACGCGGTAGTCGTGTAAAGTGCGCCTGGTCATTACCTGACTCCCAATGTCTAAGAGGGTCGTGACGTTCCAGCATCCCACGTAGAGGTGCTTTCTAAGTTGGAGAGGTTGAAAAGGTCCAGTTCGCATTCTTGACAACTCGACCACTGGAGGAGCGCGTTGCTTATCGGGGACGCCGTAGAATGAGTAACGAAGCTTGCAGAAGACATAATCATGAAATCTCATATCTCCCAGTACACCGAAAATGTACGAATGGGGATTCCAACTGCTACTGTTGTGGCGACGAAATTTTTATACTTTCCAATCCAGATATTTCATTGAACATAGCAGTGGGTCGTTTTAAGCAGACTGATTAAAAACAATGCGTAATTTTACTCCAAATATCACACTGCATTCCTCATCTTGCTTCGTTCTCTCTGGCAACTCGTTAACTTAGGCAAGTGGCGAGATTGGCAACTCGATTACGTATCTAGAATAAGTGTATACTTTTGGGTGTATTTATGTCAGTACTCGGTCATCATCAGCAGCATGTAACACCGTTTATTATTATTAATCTAACCCGCGCACGACCACTATGTGAAATAAAATCGCCGTTGATTAATCCGCTGTTGCCCAACAGACATCTTTTATTTAAATATGGTCCATCGAAGAACGTTGAAGGCTGATCAGTCTTCGGAACATCTTTCAGAAACGAAGACGGGTTTGCGAAGCGAAGCTGGTGAATTTTCCCCTCCTCTACTGAACGCGCGCAAAACCATACCAAATATTGGACAACAAGCTAACTTCTTGGTAAACACCTAAAAAACGTGAGAAATGACAATGCGATCCGTTACCTCACAAAATAACGAGACGAAAATCTAGTTACTGGTCAAAATTGCTATCTTACAAAGAATAATCTCAAACAAGGTTTAAGAGGAGTATCCTAATACACTTTTTGATAACCCTTCAGTATTGTGATCTTGGGTGGTGGACAGAACGTCTTTAGATGCCGTTACACTGCACTCATTCGACTTAGCAACCGTGTTCCACACTACGAACTGATTTCAATTCGCCTGAAGCGGACGTTGCTCCCGAGGTAGGCCAGCTCAAATGTTATAGGCTCTCAAGACCGAATGGTTGTCCCCAAAGATGGTGGATCAACAACAGGTCTGCATTTATCTGTATGGACTTTGTCTTGGCCGCACCGATAGTACCGATCATTTCTTATTTGGTTCCCTAGCATCACCGATAGACTACGCGCTGGACACAAGCGCAAGCGGCGTCTATGAGTGGGTTCGAATCCAAGTGGGGTTGCTGACGTTTTGACGTTCCCGATAGGAACACTGCCACAGTCGAACTGGGAGCGATTTATTTTGATAAGAAAGGAATCTTTAAGCAGACCAAGATAATTATGATGGTCACATGCAGATGATATGTGCTGGTTTGACGTGAGGACAAGCTGGTGGTGACTGTTAAATAATTTAAGCGATACTTGAAATGAAATCGTCATTGCATTGAGTATTCGAAGTAGTGAGAGAACCTTGCTCAGATGAAAAATAAATCTGAAAGGCAGCTCAGAATAGGACTCAATAACACGCAGAGTCAGTCTGCTTAAACAGAAAAAAGAAAGTGTAAAATACAAAAAATGACGCCAATGATATGTGCATTCGTTTCTTTTCAACCCATCAGCATGTTATGACGTTGCACGACATCCATTTGTTACCACATCAGATGTGACAGTATATTCCACACTAGTTTAGTATGTTTCAGATCCCGTAAACACCCGTTCCAGATCGAGACAGGCCAATAGACCTTCGATTAAAGTAAGTGTGCGACCAAGTGCACCAGAAAACTGGCGTGAATCCTCCTGCAACTGAGCATATATTTCAGGCTGAATGATCAAATCCGAGTTGGGCAAACCAGAGTCCGCGAGACTGTCTGCAAATAGACTACGAAGGAACTGGTTGCGAGATGGCAGTGATTTGATAACGATCTACAGATTAAGAGGAAGGAAAAAAGGAATATTTCTTGTTTGAAGAGAAGAACAGCAGTGTGGGACAAACATAATTATTTTTCGAAACGGAAGCCTTTTTCATGTGAGCATTAATCAATTTAATAATCATGATATCGGCCCTAACACCATAGCTGTGACTGGGTGCTTCGGCAAACGGATTTCATAGGCCTGATCTCCTACTGGAATGCTCCATGACGCCTCGTGTTCACCACCTCTGCCAGGAAAGTTCACTTTGATTACTAAAGATGAGGCTATTTTCACTGAAGTGATTTTAGATCACTTGCGATGAGAGGTATATATATATATATATATATATATATATATATCACGTCTGAGGCCAGAATGCGTGTCGTTTTGTCCGTTGAATGTGACCGTATGGTTGATCATCCTGAGCCAACGTGTCGCTTAAAAATGAAAACGTCTGCACAGTTGGCCAATCTTTTCCACTAGTCATCATCAGTATATATCCACCCAAATTCACTTTGATGAAACCCGAGCAGGAAGGATAGTTAAACCGACGCGCTGATCACTTGGCCTATCCTGGATGTCCGGTAACGGAGATTTATCTCATTGGGTGAATCGCTGATTCAGTATGACAAACATGCTTTCATAAAACAAAAGCGATCGCCCAAACGGTTCAAATAAACAATTACATCAGAAAATGTGGATTTCTTTCTCAATCACAAGAAGACGCTACTGAGAATTGATGCAAGGGAAGTCATTGATTCTATGGCAATATCCGGTGCATTCGACAACAGCGCCAGGGAAGCGTTACATTTCCGTTTGTATCTCCTTCCTTGAGAATGAATACATGATTGTATAAGCACGTTTTCAGGATAAGAGAAGCAGTCAATCAAAGGGCTGCTGAAGACAAAGTACACGTTAGATGAAGATGATGGGGTTAGAACAAGACCTCTGGAACGATAAGCTGGTGACCATAGCTCCTTGAGCTCCACCACGTCACGAAATGCTTACTGGCAGCTAGTTCAGATGACTCAAGTATTGAGCGCAATTAGTTACCACCCCTGCCGTGCGTTGGTTCCCATCCCGATATGTACAGTTGAATGTTTCCATTATGTACGATGTTAGGCTTGTGTTGAAATAATTATGTTTCATATCATCTTTCATACCACGTATATGATTAACGGTAGGGGTAAATCTTGCACTTGTCGGCTATACGTATACCAATTACAAACGTCAGCCTTTTACTCGTAGATTTTCGAGAGGTTTTCGGATTCATACATGAAAACAGCAGACTGATGCGAGTCAAACATGATCAAAACTCACCATAGCTACACCTCTTAATGCCCACTGGTGAAACGAACGCAGACAACGGGAATACGCCTCGGTAGCAACCACACCCAGACTGTCGTCGAATAGTGGCATATTTGTTCCCGACGGGTATTCAGTTACATTGCTCGCCGGAGACGGTGGAGGAAGGATGAACAGGAGGTGCAGAAATTCACGGACAAAGTTCAGAGAACTGCAAAAGGCAAACAAATAATTGAATTCAATCCAAACAAACTAGTTTTAGTTTTCACAAATATTAACCATGCACTTTTGTGCACCGGTTTTGGTTGCCGTCCTGTGACTACCCGTTCGTATGCAGGAGTACAGGGAAAATTGGAATGAACAAACAAGATTCAATTTCGAATACGCGAATCATTGAAACCAGATGTTCATAATTATGATGCAGATAACCATATCACAATAACAACGCTATGTTTAGACGTAAAATAGATCCGTTCTTTCAGGATACGAAGAAATTTTAATAATGAATGCTTAGAGTCAATAAATGGACAATCGCGAAGTGAATCAGATAATTCGATCAATGAGATGACTGGCACAGGGTAGTAGTGAATACCTAAACGTTATTCACACGACTCCTACAATGGATACACTGGCAGTGTGTTTCTATCCTGATGACCCAACAGCCTGGGCAGATATTATTAACAGATTATTCTCGGGACCGTTCATTTCTCCGAATATATCATCCATACTCATTGTGAGAAAACACAAAGTAGCGAACAAGCTCGTTTGCGGTGATTCTTCTACAGGCTAATACATCACAAACTGGCAGGGGGGGGGGAGAACAAGAAAAGTTAGAAAAGAGATAATCAACACTTCAGTTCCATGACCGGATTTAGCTCATCCAAACATTAGGTTTACTCTAGAGAACGAAGAGAATAAGCAGCTTGCA